AGAGTAAACCCACTACAATATTTACAATTATAGTGTGTATAGTGTAGTGCATAATAGTGTATAGTGTAGTGTATAGTAGTGTAGAGTACAGTGTGGTGTATAGTGTAGTGTATAGTGTAGAAGGCCGCTGTCTCTATTGTAGAGCAATCACTTTCAAAGACAATGAATGCCCATATATTATCAAAGCATGATAGTGTTTGCATGTTCAGCGCGAGTACTGGGTGTGGGGTCAATGCAGTGATTTTATTCCTGGCAAGAACGTTCTTATTTGGTGTTTCAACATCTTAACAGAACTCCTTTTTTTATTTCCAGAAAGGGTCAAACCTATTCGTACGTGTTGTCATGACTAATAATACTATTACTAAATTAAAATAAAAGTTTAATAAATTTTACTACTTTTTATTTTTATTGTGGGTTTATTTGCTTGTATTATTTTCAAGTAATTATTTTATCTTATTTTTTATTTAAAAGTTGCATTTTTATTTTATGTTTTTAGTTTTCTATTTGATTTTATAGATTTTATTTTTCTATCTACGTCACTTTACCGAAAGAACCAATTGTATTGCTACTCGAATTTATCCATCATTTCACGAGGGTTGTGTTCACATTTGTGCACAAGGGGGCGATGCTGCTGCAGCTGCTGCCGCTGCTGCTACTGCGACTGCCATGTGATTTGCAAACACGATATGTTGAACTTCTTTCGCACCGTACGTAGCCAACCGTGCTGAATAGGAGATTATTCCGAATGAGTGTGCTGTTGAACAGGGGGATCATACAAACTCCACTCACTCTCACTCTGTAGAACATGGGGAGATTATACAAACTCCACTCACTCTCACTCTGTAGAACAGGGGGAGATCATACAAACTCCACTCACTCTGAAGAACAGGGGGAGATCATACAAACTCCACTCACTCTGAAGAACGGGGCGAGATCATACAAACTCCACTCCCTCACTCTGTAGAACAGGGGAGATAATACAAACTTCACTCACTCTCGCTCTGTAGAACAGGGAGAGATCAAAGAAACTCCACTCACTAAATCGGGGTGTCTGTGTGTGTGTCTGTGTATGTGTCTATGTGTGTGTGGGTGTGTGTGTGGGTGTCTGTGTGTGTCTGTGTGTGTGGGGAGCGGTTAGGGGAGGGTGTTGGGTGGGGTTGTTGGACATTCACTCCTCTTAAAACAATTAGCAACAAACCACACCCGGCACGGCCATTGTGTATATCTGCATACCTATAGACAAACAAAGACAGAGTCAAAGATCACCCGTGTAGCCTCTAACAGACCGCTGGGGCAAGTGCTGTGAGTAGCGAGTAGCAGCGCCTATACACAGACAAAGATCCCCCGTGTAGCCTCTAAAAGACTCCTGGGGCATTTGCTGTTAGCGATCAGCACCTATGAAGGCTACCAGCACTGTGGCACACGAGGGGGTGGGTGGCCAGCACCACGCCCGGCCGCCTTTGTCTCCCCCACCAGCGGTGCTATTTACTACACACCAAGTGTCGGTGACGTCCCCACGGCGCTCGTGCCAGGCTAGGTGCACTCTGAAGCTACGCGAAGTCTCGAAGGCTCGTTTCTGGCAAGGAGGTCACAGAACCGACCGTGTTGAAGTTTGTGTGTTGAACTTTTTTCGCACCGAACGTAGCCAACCGTGATAACGAACCATCTCCGAGCGATATGAGTGGCCGATGCACCACCACCTTTCGTTTTATACGCCCGGCGCTCCGCCCGTTGTTGTGAGCGTCGCTCCACCGCCCTCCGCCGTTTGCCGGAGGGGTCGACTGCCTCCAAGTGGCCAAGCAGTAGCCTCGTCGACGTGCACCTAGCCTGGCACTGCCCAGTAGCCTCCCCCCCCCTTCCAACGGAGGCCGATCTTGACACCGCTGGCATCGGGCATCGTCCGGTCCACTCAACCCCACGAGCAAAAGACAAAAGTCCCCCGTGTAGCCTCTAACAGGCTGTAGGGGCAAGTGCTGTTAGCGAGTAGTAGCAGCAGCAGCACCTATGAAGGCTACCGGCGCTGTGGTTACACGAGGGGGTAGGTGGCCAGCACCACGCCCGGCCGCCTTTGTCTCCCCAGTGGCGATGTTCGCTCTGCGCTACCGCACCAGGTACTCGTCTGAGTAGGCCGAGTCTACCTAGGGGAGGCCCAGGACGGGTTCAAATATTCGCCACTGGTATTGGTGGCGTGCGGGAATCACAATACACACGTAGACAAAGATCCCCCGTATAGCCTTAACAGACTGTTGGGGCAAGTGCTGTTAGCAAGCATCTGTGAAGGCCAGACCGGCACACGAGGAGGTGGGTGGCCAGCACCACGCCCGGCCGCCTTTGTCTCCCCCAGTGGCGATGTTTGCCGAAAAACCGCCACCAGGCCACTCATTTGAGGCCGAGTCGACCTAGGGGAGGGCTCTGGACGACTCCGCTAACAGCTGCACCACCGCTCCCAATTCACGGTGTTCACACAAAGACAAAGATCCCCCCCTTATATTATAGTCTTAAGGGACGATAGGGGCAAGTGCCGTTAGCGAGTAGCAGCAGCACCTGTGGAAGGCCATCTGCACTGTGGCACACGAGGGGCGCGGCCGTCTTTGTCTTCCCCCAGTGGCGATGTTTCCTGCCAAACCGCTCAGGACCAGTTCAGACGATTTCTATCGCTGGCGAAGTGGTCGTGAGCCGAACTCGATCTCGAGAACAGCGGCTTTGTAGACGGCCACACACACACAGACACATATACACAAACACACACACCGACACATACACACAGACATACACACACACACCGACACACACACACACATATACACAGACACACACACAGACACACACAGACACACACACACAGACACACACACACAGACACACAGACACATATACACACCGACATACACACACACCGACACACACACACACAGACACACACACACAGACACACATACCGACACATATATACACCGACATACACACACACCGACACACACACACAGACACACACAGACACACAGACACAGACACACACACCGACACATATACAGACACACACACACAGACACACACACCGACACACACACACACCGACCCACACACACCGACACACACACCGACACACACACACCGACACACACACACCGACACACACACACACAGACACACACCGACCCACACACACCGACACACACACCGACCCACACACACCGACACACACACAGACACACACACCGACACACACACACCGACACACACCCAGATACACACATAGACACACACACCGACACATATACACACAGACAGACACATATACAGACACACACACACAGACACACACACCGACACACACACACACCGACCCACACACACCGACACACACACACACAGACACACACACACACACAGACACACACCGACCCACACACACCGACACACACACCGACCCACACACACCGACACACACACACAGACACACACACCGACACACACACACCGACACACACACACCGACACACACACACCGACACACACACACCGACACGCACACCGACACATATACACACAGACACACACACACACCGACACACACGCCGACACACACACACACAGACACACACACCGACACACACACACCGACACACACACACCGACACACACAGACACACACACCGACACACACACCGACACACACACACACAGACACACACACTGACACACACCCCGACACACACACACACAGACACACACACCGACACACACACACCGACACACACACACTGACACACACACCGACACACACACATACACACCGACACACACACACCGACACTCACACACCGACACACACACAGATACACACATAGACACACACACCGACACACACACACCGACACACCGACACACACACACCGACACACACACACACCGACACACACACACCAACACACACACACACCGACACACACACCCCGACAGACACACACAAACACACACACACAGACACACACACCGACACGCACACCGACACGCACACCGACACATATACACACAGACATACACACACACACACGCACCGACACACACACTGACCCACACACACCAACACACACACCAACACACACACCGACACACACACAGCGACACACACACACCGACACACACACACAGACACACACACACAGACACACACACACACACCGACATACACACAAACACACACAGACACACACACCGACATACACACACACCGACACATACACCGACACACACACACACACCGACACATATACACACAGACACACACACACACCGACACACACACATCGACACGCACACTGACACATATACACAAACACACACCAAAACATATACACCCCGACACACACACACCGACACGCACACACCGACACACACACACAGACACACACACACACACTGACACACACATACACACCGACACAATACACAGACACACACAGACACACATCGACACACACACACCGACACATATACACACCGACACATACACACACCGACACATACCGAAAAAAAAAATCACACACACACCAACACACACACCAACACACACACACACCGACACACACCGACACACACACACAGACACACACACACACACCAACACAGACACACACCGACACACACACACAGACACACACACACCAACACACACACACACACACCGATACACACACCGACACACACACAAACACACACACCGACAAACACACAGACACCAACACACACACCAACACACACACACACAGACACACACACCGACACACACACACACACACAGACACCCCGCGCAGGCATTAACATCGCCTCGAGTCTCAATTTCCATGTTGTCCCCATTGTTGCCACCCATTCCAGTTCCAGCGAGATCAGGGTAGTCATTGTAAGAGGTCAATCACCTTTCCCGTGGTGCGGGTACCTCTTGTCCCCTACCTACGCATACCACCCCCACCACCACCACCATACTCCCACGCCCTGACCAGGTATATATACACACACACACGCACTCACACGCCTACCTATCTAGACATCCTATTCTGCGCGCGCGTCCCACAGATCCGAGGCTTCTGAAGTCCGCGCCACAGGTAACGATTAGGGTGATGGAGCGGCGAAAGTTGCAGGTGGCAGAGATCGTGTCGGAAACGCTGAGCCAGTCCTGCTGAATCACCTGGGTCTGGGTGTCTCTTATAGTGTGGGGAGATCATAGTGGCCGTGTCAGATATTTTGGGACAGGCCTGCTGAATCACCTGGGTTCTGGGTGTCTCCTATAGTGTGGGGAGATCATAGTGGCCGTGTCAGATATTTTGAGACAGGCCTGCTGAATCACCTGGGTTCTGGGTGTCTCCTATAGTGTGGGGAGATCATAGTGGCCGTGTCAGATATTTTGAGACAGGGCTGCTGAATCACCTGAGTTCTGGGTGTCTCCTATAGTGTGGGGAGATCAAAGTGGCCGTGTTGGATATTTTGAGACAGTACTGCTGAATTACCTGGGTTCGAGCCCTGGGTCTGGGTATCTCTCATATTGTGGGGGAGATCATAGTGGCCGTGTCAGATATGTTGAGCCAGTCCTGCTGAATCACCTGGGTCTGGGTGTCTCTCATAGTGTGGGGGAGATCATAGTGGCCGTGTCAGATATTTTGAGACAGGCCTGTTGAATCACCTGGGTCTGGGTGTCTCTTATAGTGTTGGAGAGATCATAGTGGCCGTGTCAGATATTTTGAGACAGGCCTGTTGAATCACCTGGGTTCTGGGTGTCTCCTATAGTGTGGGGTGGGTCTGGGTGTCTCTCATAGTGTGGGGGAGATCATAGTGGCCGTGTCAGATATTTTGAGACAGGCCTGTTGAATCACCTGGGTCTGGGTGTCTCTTATAGTGTTGGAGAGATCATAGTGGCCGTGTTGGATATGTTGAGACATTACTGCTGAATCACCTGGGTTCGAGCCCTGGGTCTGGGTATCTCTCATATTGTGGGGGAGATCATAGCGGATTTCCAGCAAGCGGCGAAGGGTGTTAGCGAGTTACATTATACCGCTATGTAACACGGTTTTTGTTCCTGGGTAGCAAGTGTTATTTTCTAATTTCTTATGCCTAAAAAGTAATAGAAAACGGCTGTTATTCCCCCGCAAACTTTGCTTTTGTGACCAGGATTTTACGTGAAGGAATGATATAAATACACACGTTTTCTCATTGACAATAGGTACATTTCAAAAATGATCACTGGCCTGGTCACAAAGCCAAAGTTTGTGGGCAATAATAGCCACTTTCTGTACTTTTGAGGCATAAGCAATTAGAAAATAACACTTACTACCCAGGAACAAAAATAAAGATTGTTTTTGTTACGCAGTGAATTATGAACAGAGCGGTTCAACGCCGGGTGCAAGAGAACGATTAGAGCGGTCGTTCTTAACCTGGGTGTAGTGTATAGTGGTGTAGTGTATAGCGTAGTGTATAGTAGTGTAGTGTATAGTAGTGTAGTCTATAGTAGTATAGTATAGAGTAGTGTAGTGTATAGAGTAGTGTATAGTAGTGTAGTGTATAGTAGTGTATAGTAGTGTAGTGTATAGTAGTGTAGTGTATAGTTGTGTAGTGTATAGTGTAGTGTATAGTGTACTGTATAGTAGTGTAGTGTATAGTGTAGTGTATAGTGTACTGTATAGTAGTGTAGTGTATAGTAGTGTAGTGTATAGTAGTGTAGTGTATAGTAGTGTAGTGTATAGTGTAGTGTATAGTGTAGTGTATAGTGTAGTGTATAGTGTAGTGTATAGTAGTGTAGTGTATAGTGTAGTGTATAGTGTAATGTAAAGTAGTGTAGTGTATAGTGTAGTGTATAGTAGTGTAGTGTATAGTAGTGTAGTGTATAGTAGTGTAGTGTATAGTGTAGTGTATAGTGTAGTGTATAGTAGTGTATAGTGTAGTGTATAGTGTAGTGTATAGTAGTGTAGTGTATAGTGTAGTGTATAGTGTAGTGTATACTAGTGTCGTGTATAGTAGTGTATAGTGTAGTGTATAGTAGTGTCATGTATAGTAGTGTATAGTAGTGTAGTATATAGTGTAGTGTAGAGTAATGTAGTATATAGTGTAGTGTATAGTGTATGGGAGTGTATAGTAGTGTATAATGTAGTGTATAGTGTAATGTTTAGTATGTAGTAGTGTATAGTAGTGTAGTGTATAGTGTAGTGTATAGTGTAGTGTATAGTGCAGTGTATAGTGCAGTGTATAGTGTAGTGTATAGTGCAGTGTATAGTGTAGTGTATAGTGCAGTGTATAGTAGTCTTTAGTGTTTAGAAGGTAATCGAAAACACAAATTAAGCCACGTGGCAACGTAACTCACAGCTCACTTTGTCTGCATAAAACCTCCTTTGTACTCATTGTTAACATTACTATCAACATGATTAACATTACTATTTACATGATTAACATCACCATGCCTTTGTTTTGTCAACGATTGGGGGTGCAGCAAGGCTGGCTAAGTGAAAGCTGAACACAACGCCTGTTTTTACTGCGCTCGGGTGCTACAAAGCTATCCTCAGTTTTCGTGAGTTTTTATTATTAAATTCTTTATATTAAGTTCGCTTGCTTGCTTGCTTGCGTGCTTGCTTGCTTGCTTACGACCGTGCAAATCTTTCGGTCGTTTTTTAACCCACTTCCCATGATCCAATCGAGCTGACATTTTGCACACAGACTCGTTGTGCGAGACAATTAATGTTCGTGAAATTTTTTTTCAAAAATTTTACACTGTTTAGGGAAAACAAATTAAATATTTAATTACCAATTGCTTAATACTGGCAGACAATCATCTGACCCATAGATGTCAGCCATCTCAAGCCAGAGGACGAGAGGACTCTAGCCGCCACGCATATAAAGGATTTATAGTGAAAAACTTTGTTTTTATGGGTTATACTTGTTTTTAGTTTTTAGATCGCGTCAATGATATCGATGCTGTGAGTCGTTCCATCACCACCACACAGACAATTGGCAAAGTCGATGGTTCGCTGTCGAGTCAACAAGTCGTGACAGGTTCTTTTACTTAAAGGTCGTAGCCACGGACTCAACATTGGGGGGGACCAAATCTTCAAGGGGGTCCCTCCCCCAGAAAAAAAAATAAATCTAAATTTGAAAACGAATTTCCTGCCTAAAGTATTTTAAAAAATTCACTAACACATAGGATGGACTTTTTATTAATTATTCACAATAATGTCTAATAGTGTATTGTATTACATTGCTCTGTTTTTTTTTACCTTTTCTTGTTTCATCGTATGTAATGGCAGAGATTAGGCATTAATAAAGTACAACCATAACCACAATCACTTTAACAGAAATCTATTTTATAGCGACATTAAGAGCATCTTTGAACATTATATTTACGACCTTGTCTTTACTTATCTCTGCACTAGAACCGGCTGCGTGCGTTGGAGAGTTTGTTTTTAAATAACAAAAAAACCCACAACAACTTTCACAAATCAACGCATCGAGTAGTGGTGGTGAGTGGGTTTGGGGAGCGGTGGCGCAGCGGTTAGCGCCACGCTCCGCCGGCTGGCGACCCGGGTTCGATTCCCGCTCGCGAATCCAACACCGGTGACGATTCTCTGAACCCGGTCCTGGGGGTGCTCCCCTAGGTCGACTCAGCCTCAAATGAGTACCCGGTGCGATGTGTAGCAAACATCGCCACTGGGGAGACAAAGGCGGTCGGGCGTGGTGCTGACCACCAAACCCCTCGTGTGCCGTTCCGGCCTTCATAGGCGCTGCTCGCTAACAGCACTTGCCCCGACAGTCTGTTAAGGCTACACGGGGGATATTTGTCTGTGTATAGGTGCTGCTACTCGCTACTAACAGCACTTGCCCCAACAGTCTGTTAGAGGCTACCCGGGGGATCTTTGTCCTGTTGTGATTCAGTTACTAATATATTTGAACGCGATCTAACCAAAGCAATCCTCGATTCATGGATAACATTGGGTCCTGAGAGCCCTTATCAATGACCTACCTTACTACAGACCTATTCAGACTACTATATATAATACACGACTATACACTACACTATACACTACACTACTATACACTACACTACTATACACTACACTACTATACACTACACTACTATATACTACACCAGTATACACTACACTACTATACACTACACTATACACTACATTATTATACACTACACTACCACAAACCTGTCAACCCCTTATCAGTGCCCTAACTTATTACAGACCAATTCAGACAACTATACACTCTACACTACACTACTATACACTACACTAGTATACACTACACTATACATTACACTATTATACACTACACTACTGAACACAATACACTACTATACACTTTACACTACACTACTATACACTGTTATACACTACACTATTATACACTACACTATTGAACACTACTATATACTGCTATACACTACAATACTATCCACTACACTACAATCCGCAGATTACCTGCTGGATCTCCTCACTGTTTCGAAGAACAAATGTGACCTAAGGTCTTCGCTCATTTACCAGCTTCACATTCCTTATTGCCGTACAAATACTGGAGGAAGGGCCTTTGCTATTGATGCCCCCAGGGTCTGGAATGCTGTCGACAATAAGCTGCAACTTGGATCACTGTGAGAGATCTTCACTCAAAACTGCTCTAGAGGAGTTGTACACCCCTAACTGCCACTGCTATTCATTGCCTGAAATCAAATGTATCGCTCCTGATGACCACTGCAGAGTATGATCTTGAGTTTTGATTATAGAGTGCTGATCTTTAAAGGTGCATTGAAAAATTGTTGATACTCCGACTGATACTTCTGCTGTTATGGAGTGACTAATGCTGCCAGCTATGGCTGCAAAGTTTGGTCGTACATGTTATGTGTATGATGTTTATTGTTAAATTTGAATTATAGTTCGTATGATCACTGTTACGTTGTTTTTATAACTTTGTTTTGGTGATTTCGAAATAGTTTTGGTTTAGCTATATTTGTTTGTTGTTGTGCAGAGTTATACTGATAACTTTAATCTAAAGTATCTCATGGTTGTTATTGTTTGACTTGCATCCCACTGGGATTTTTGCACACAGCATTGATAACGGTGCTTTTTCTGGAAGACGTTGCTGTTTTTTCCCTAGATTTTTCTGTTGCGTGCGGTCGCTTTAAGATGTTTTTTTGTTCACGTTTTTTATTTGGTGCGTTTGCACCCGATTCAAGAGCCGAATGGCTCACAGGGCTATACCCAATAAATGAACTGAAAATGAACTGAACTGAAAATACACTACTATACACTACACTACTGTACAAAAATACACTACTATACACTATGATAATTGGTTTTTTACCCTTCTATCTGGCAAGAAAACTGACACCTTTTTACAAGGAGTCATGTTTGCATAGACCGCAATACCTGCAGTCATAATACAAACAAAAGACATAACTCTGATAATGTATGCACTGTCCTTGAAGTTGATTGGTCCACACCCGAGACAGCTTTCCTTAGAGCCTAGTCTCACATGGGTTGGACCAGATGACGATAGAAGTGTGAAAAACAAATATCATATTTTTACTGGCAAATGAGGTTCCCATAGTACTATACACTACATTAATATATATCTGTTAACCACTTATTAGTGCCATAGCTTATTACAGACCAATTTGGACTGTATTGGTCACCCTGTGCCACTTACAAATCTCAACGTTCATCCTACAAAGTTCCATCACATGGGTGAAACACAAACAAATAGACAAGCAATTATCTAAATACATATTTGTATCCGTATTGGACTTTAAAACTCAATTTTCCCGTGCAAGAATATGGGGTAAACTGTATGGGTTGACAAGCATGGTATAGTAGTGTAATGTATAGTAGTGGTGTATAGAAGTGCAGTGTAAAGTGGTGTTGTATAGTAGTGCAGTGTATAGTCGTGTAGTGTATACTGGTGTAGTGTATGGTATAGTGGATAATCGTGTAGTGTATAGTAGTATAGTGTGTAGTGTATTGTAGTGTATAGTGTAGTGTATAGTGTAGTGTATAGTATAGTGTATAGCAGTGTAGTGTATAGTGTAGTGTATAGTAGTGTAGTGTATAGTAGTGTGTACTGTATTGTAGTGTATAGTAGTGTAGTGTAAAGTGTAGTGTATAGTAGTGTATAGTGTAGTGTATAGTAGTGTAGTGTATAGTAATGCAGTGTATAGTGTAGTGTATATTGGTATAGGGTATAGTAGTGTAGTATATAGTGTAGTGTTTAGTGTAGTGTATAGTGTAGTGTATAGTAGTGTGTACTGTATTGTAGTGTATAGTAGTGTAGTGTATAGTGTCGTGTATAGTAGTGTAGTGTATAGTAATGCAGTGTATAGTGTAGTGTATATTGGTATAGGGTATAGTAGTGTAGTATATAGTGTAGTGTTTAGTGTAGTGTATAGTAGTGTAGTGTACTGTATTGTAGTGTATAGTAGTGTAGTATTTAGTAGTGTAGTGTGTAGTGTATAGTGTAGTGTATAGCGTAGTGTATAGTAGTGTAGTGTATAGAGTAGTGCATTGACACGGTATTACGACCACGTGTTAAAACAATTGCCCTTGTTCCTTCAACCACGTGGTCCGGAGCAGGAGTTCACCAATGGCGAACGACAAGAAAACCCGCGGAGTTCGCGCCCGCGAATCGCTCGCCTCTTGGAGAACCTTCCTGTGGAATCCGCGTACCAGGGAGTTCCTGGGTCGAACCGGGACCAGCTGGGGTGAGATGGCACGCACGCACACACAGCACTTTACATGCATACATAACTTTACATACACACAGCAGTTTACATGCACACATCACTTTACATGCATACAACACTTTACATGCATACACAGCACTTTACATACACACAGCACTTTACATGCATACAACACTTTACATGCATACGTAACTTTATATACACACAGCACTTTACATGCATACAGAACTTGGTGGCGAGGAGATGTTAACTAGCTCGCCGGGTCTACAGGAGTTCGTGGGTTCGATCCCGACCCTGACGACCCCTGCTGCTGTATATTTGGGGTCTGCGTCTCTCTCTCTCTCTCATCATCACGGTGGCTAGGAGATGTTGACTACCTCGCCTGGTATACAGGAGTTCGTGGGTTCGATCCTGACCCTGACGACGCCTGCTGCTGTATATTTGGGGTCTGCGTCTCTCTCTCTCTCATCATCACGGTGGCTAGGAGATGTTGACTACCTCGCCTGGTATGCAGGAGGTCGTGGGTTCGATCCCCGACCCTGACGACGCCTGCTGCTGCTGCTGTATATTTGGAGTCTGCGTCTCTCTCTCATCATCACGGTGGCTAGGAGATGTTAACTACCTCGCCTGGTATACAGGAGTTCGTGGGTTCGATCCCCGACCCTGACGACGCCTGCTGCTGCTGCTGTATATTTGGAGTCTGCGTCTCTCTCTCATCATCACGGTGGCTAGGAGATGTTAACTACCTCGCACATTTAGAATCAACATCACCACGCGTTTTAAAGTATTTGGATACTGCTATAAATGTCCACGCAATGATGATGATGAGCCGCAACTTCTTTGAGCTCTCATCATGTGACAGCTCAGTGTGGACACCTTCTAATGCAATACAATAAACTCGTGTAATGATAATTGTTTTTTTACCCTTCTATCTGGCAACAAAACTGACACCTTTTTACAAGGAGTCATGTTTGCATAGACCACAATACCTGCAGTCATAATACAAACAAAAAACACAACTCTGATAATGCATGCACTGTCCTTGAAGTTGATTGGTCCACACCCGAGACAGCTTTCCTTAGAGCCTAGTCTCACATGGTGTTGGACCAGATGACGCCAAAAGGCGCACAACTCAAAGACAATGCACCATCAGAGTATGAGAGCTCGGGGTAAGCATTTACACTATTGGAACCTAATTTGCCAGTAAAAAAATATGAAAAAAAGGTGTCAGTTTTGTTGCCAGATAGAAGGGTAAAAAAACAATTATCATATTTTTACTGGCAAATGAGGTTCAAATGGTGTAAACTCGTGTAATGTTAATAACTTTATGTGTCCTGACTTTTGGGCCACCCTGTATATATTTGTCTCTATCCTTTTAAGGCCACATACACAACGCACGTGTTGTTGTTGTTGTCATTATTTACACCACAACTGCCAACAGATGCATTACTCATAGACTCAACACTGCCCATAGACTCAACACTGCCCATAGACTCACCACTACACCATAAACTCAACACTGCCCATTGACTCAACACTGCCCATAGACTCAACACTGCACCATAGACTCAACACTGCCCATAGACTCAACACTGCACCATAGACTCAACACTGCCCATAGACTCAACACTGCCCATAGACTCAACACTGCCCACAGACTCAACACTGCCCACAGACTCAACACTGCACCATAGACTCAACACTGCCCATAGACTCAACACTGCACCATAAACTCAACACTGCCCATAGACTCAACACTGCCCATAGACTCAACACTGCACCATAGACTCAACACTGCCCATAGACTCAACACTGCCCATAGACTCAACACTGCACCATAAACTCAACACTGCCCATAGACTCAACACTGCCCATAGACTCAACACTGCACCATAGACTCAACACTGCCCATAGACTCAACACTGCCCACAGACTCAACACTGCCCACAGACTCAACACTGCCCATAGACTCAAAACTGCCCATAGACTCACAGCTGCCCATAGACTCAGCACTGTCCACAGACTCAGCACTGCCCATAGACTCAGCACTGCCCACAGACTCAGCACTGCCCATAGACTCAGCACTGCCCAAAGACTCAGCACTGCCCATAGACTCAGCACTGCCCATAGACTCAGCACTGCCCATAGACTCAGCACTGCCCATAGACTCAGCACAGCCCATAGACTCAGCCCATAGACTCAGCACTGCCCATAGACTCAGCCCATAGACTCAGCACTGCCCATAGACTCAGCCCATAGACTCAGCACTAAACCATAGACTCAGCCCATAGACTCAGCACTGCCCATAGACTCAGCCATAGACTCAGCACTGCCCATAGACACAGCCCATAGACTCAGCACTGCCCACAGACACAGCCCATAGACTCAGCACTGCCCATAGACTCAGCACTGCCCATAGACTCAGCACTGCCCATAGACTCAGCCCATAGACTCAGCACTGCCCACAGACTCAGCCCATAGACTCAGCACTGCCCATAGACTCAGCCCATAGACTCAGCACTGCCCATATACTCAGCACTGCCCATAGACTCAGCACAGCCCATAGACTCAGCCCATAGACTCAGCACTGCCCATAGACTCTGCCCACAGACTCAGCACTGCACCATAGACTCAACACTGCACCATAAACTCAACACTGCCCATAGACTCAACACTGCCCATAGACTCAACACTGCACCATAAACTCAACACTGCACCATAGACTCAGCACTGCCCATAGACTCAGCCCATAGACTCAGCACTGCCCATAGACTCAGACCATAAACTCAACACTGCACCATAAACTCAACACTGCCCATAGACTCAGCACTGCCCATAGACTCAGCCCATAGACTCAGCCCATAGACTCAGCACTGCCCATAGACTCAGACCATAGACTCAACACTGCACCATAAACTCAACACTGCCCATAGACTCAGCACTGCCCATAGACTCAGCCCATAGACTCAGCACTGCCCACAGACTCAGCACTATCCACAGATTCTCCCTCCTTCTCTCCCCTCCCTCCCCCCACTCCTTTGTTGTGGTGAGCGGTCCGGATCGGCTGCAGCCGGATCACCGCTGCTGATAAGATCTCCCACCCGCCCCACGATCCCCTCCCTCCCTTCCCGGAGGCTACACATTTATTATATTCTTGGTGCTTTCGGTAAAGTCACGTAAATAGAAAAGTAAAAATACAAATACATAAAAAAATGCTAATATTTTTTGTTACATTTAATTTAACAAAAATAATCAATTGAAAATATATAAATAAACATAAATTGAAATTAATAAGAGCAAAAAACCCACGACGTTTCGATCGCAACACAAGCGGTCTTCATCGGGCGGAAAGAAAATAAAAAAAGTTTTAAGTCAAAATGTACACAATGATTACCATTATTGATTTGACGCTTTTGTAACTGCAGGAATCCATACTCTTTGGTTCTTTCGGTAGAATTGTTTCTACCTACGTGACTTTACGTTGGTAGCAAAAATAAGAGTATCATTATTATAATAATAATGGTTTTATTACCCTTCTATCTGGCAACAAAACTGACACCTTTTTTTACAAGGAGTCATGTTTGCATAGACCACAATACCTACAGTCATAATGCAAACAAAAACATAACTCTGATAATGTATGCACTGTCCTTGAAGTTGATTGGTCCACACCCGAGACAGCTTTCCTTAGAGCCTAGTCTCACATGGTGTTGGACCAGATGACGCCAAAAGGTGTACAACTCAAAGACAATGCACCATCAGAGTATGAGAGCTCGGGGTAAGCAAACATGACTCCGTGTAAAAAAAAAAGTGTCAGTTTTGTTGCCAGATAGAAGAGTAAAAAAAACAATTATCATATTTTTTACTGGCAAATGAGGTCCCAATGGAGTATCATCATCATTACCCTGAAGACAAGAGAGGAGAGAGAGAAGAGAGAGATCGAACAGGGCTCTGTGTCCACGCGGGGCGTGGTGTGGTTTGTGTGAGCGCCCGTGAGCGTGTGGACATTTAAACTCAAGATATTTAAACCCTTGAGACGTTTAGCCCCAGGGTGCAATTGCCCCTGCAGTCTGCTGGAGGCTACACGGGGGATCTTTGTCTGTGTATAGGCGCTGCTACTACTCGCTACTGCTAACATCACTTGCCCCTGCAGTCAGCTAGAGGCTACACGGGGGATCTTTGTCTGTGCATAGGCGCTGCTACTACTCGCTACTACTAACAGCACTTGCCCCTGCAGTCTGCTGGAGGCTACACGGGGGATCTTTGTCTGTGCATAGGCGCTGCTACTACTCGCTACTACTAACAGCACTTGCCCCCGCAGTCTGTTAGAGGCTACACGGGGGATCTTTGTCTGTGCATAGGCGCTGCTACTCGCTACTACTAACAGCACTTGCCCCCGCAGTCTGTTAGAGGCTACACGGGGGATCTTTGTCTGTGCATAGGCGCTGCTACTCGCTACTGCTAACAGCACTTGCCCCCGCAGTCTGTTAGAGGCTACACGGGGGATCTTTGTCTGTGTATAGACGCTGCTACTCGCTACTGCTAACATCACTTGCCCCTGCAGTCAGCTAGAGGCTACTTACCTTACAGGGCGCCCGTGTTGTGTGGAGGAGGCATTTGCGGGCGCATTGTTTCACTGATTGGAGTTCGAGAAGAACCGGCTTGTTGACAATCCACGGGGGAGGTTGGTAATTGACTTATGTTTTTGCGGGACCAGCTTGGGGGGGGGGGGGTGATGTCGGGGGGAGGTCAAAATGATCGCGTCATTTAACAACAATGGAAATACTATGAGACATCTCCTTTACCAGTGGCAAAATATAGTAACAGGTTTTTACCCTTTCAACTGGTACAAAAACTGACACCTTTACGCAAGGCATAATGTTTGCAATAACCACAATACAAGCAGTCAAAATGCAAACAAAAAGAAACAACTCTGATGATCTTATTGGTTCTTTCGGTAAAGTCACGTAGAAGGGAAGTAATAAAATAATAAAGATAAAACATAATAAAACAAGCTTTAAATCGAAATTTAACTCTGATGATGATGATAATGATATGCACTGTCCTTGAAGTTGATTGGTCCACACCCGAGACAGCTTTTCTTAGAGCCTAGTCTCCATTGGTGTTGGACCAGATGACGCCAAAAGGCGTACAACTCAAACACAGTGCACTATCAGAGTATTGAGAGCTCGGGGTAAGCATTTACACTATGAGACATCTCCTTTACCAGTGGCAACATATAGTAATAGGTTTTTACCCTTTCAACTGGTACAAAAACTGACACCTTTATACAAAATATAGTAATAAGTTTTTACCCTTTCAACTGGTACAAAAACTGACACCTTTATACAAGGCATCATGTTTGCAATAACCACAACACAAGCAGTCAAAATGCAAACAAAAAGAAACAACTCTGATAATGATGATGCATATCATTATCATGATGCATATCGTTATCAGAGTTGTTTCTTTTTGTTTGCATTTTGACTGCTTGTGTTGTGGTTATTGCAAACATGATGCCTTGTATAAAGGTGTCAGTTTTTGTACCAGTTGAAAGGGTAAAAACCTATTACAACAATGGAAATAGATGTGGCGCCGTCGATGCCTCCACCACACGAAACTCCCCGCTCAATGAAGTTGGCACGTGGTGAAGGAACGGTGTTATAGACGTTTTTATGTTAATCTTAACAAAATCATAATTCTAAATATATATGATTTCTAGCAATTGCCGCTGGGAGGTTCCCCTATAGACTACCCCTATCGCTACCCCTATCACTACCCCTATCACTACCTCTATCGTTACCCCTATAGACTACCCCTGTAGACTACCCCTATAGACTACCCCTATCACTACCCCTATCACTGCCCCCAATCACTACCCCTATCACTATCCCTATCGCTACCCCTATCGCTACCCCTATCACTACCCCTATCACTACCCCAATCACTACCCCTATCACTACCCCTATCTCTACCCCTATCGCTACCCCTATAGACTACCCCTATCACTACCCCTATCGCTACCCCTATAGACTACCCCTATAGACTACCCCTATCACTGCCCCCAATCGCTACCCCTATCACTACCCCTATCGTTACCCCTATAGACTACCCCTATAGACTACCCCTATCACTACCCCTATCACTGCCCCCAATCACTACCCCTATCACTACCCCTATCGCTACCCCTATCACTATCCCTATCGCTACCCCTATCGCTACCCCTATCGCTACCCCTATCGCTACCCCTATCGCTACCCCTATCACTACCCCTATCACTACCCCTATCACTACCCCTATCGCTACCCCTACAGACTACCCCTATCACTACCCCTATCACTACCCCTATCACTACCCCTATCGCTACCCCTACAGACTACCCCTATCACTACCCCTATCACTACCCCTATCACTACCCCTATCGCTACCCCTACAGACTACCCCTATCACTACCCCTATCGCTACCCCTACAGACTACCCCTATCTCTACCCCTATCTCTACCCCTATCGCTACCGCTATCACGACCCCTGTCACTATCGCTACCCCTATCGCTACCCCTATCACTACCCCTATCTCTACCCCTATCACGACCCCTGTCACTATCGCTGCCGCTATCTCTACCCCAAACCCTATCACTGTCACGGTTCGAAATGAGCGGCAAGCCTGGTTAATACTGGCACGGTGTGTGTGTGTGTGTACAGCATTAACCGTGAACAATACATACGTGTGTGCCCCTCCTCCTACTCCACCTCCTCCTCCACCTCGTGCCCACAGCCCTCATCATCGGCTACTACATCATCTTCTACCTCTTCCTGGCCGCGATGTTCGCCTTCACCATGTGGGTGATGCTGCAGACGATCAGTGACGAGAGACCCAAGTACCAGGACCGCGTCCAGAACCCTGGCACGTACACTCACAACCAGCCCGGGTCACTTACACTCTGATCATCGCTGCTGATAATGCTGCAGATGATGATGATGATGATGCTGATGATGATGCTCACCATGTTACTGATGCTGCTGCTGATGACGTTGCTGATGATGATACTGCAGATGATGATGATGCTCACGATGATGCTGCTGCTGCTGATGATGCTGCTGATGATGATGATGCTGCTGATGATGATGATGCTGCTGATGATGATGATGATGCTGCTGATGATGCTGATACTGCAGATGATGATGATGATGCTGACGATGCTGCTGCTGACGATGCTGCTGCTGATGATGCTGATGCTGCTGATGATGATGCTGATGATGCTGCTGATGATGATGCTGCTGATGATGCTGCTGCTGATGATGCTGATGCTGCTGATGATGCTGCTGCTGATGATGATGATGCTGCTGATGATGATGATGCTGCAGATGATGATGATGCTGCAGATGATGATGATGCTGCAGATGATGATGATACTGCTGCTGATGATGATGCTGCTGCTGATGATGATGCTGCTGATGATGATGATGCTGCTGATGATGCTGCTGCTGATGATGATGATGCTGCAGATGATGATGATGATGCTGCTGCTGCTGATGATGATGATGCTGCTGCTGATGATGATGATGCTGCTGCTGCTGATGATGATGCTGCTGATGATGATGATGATGCTGCTGCTGATGATGATGATGATGATGCTGCTGATGATGATGCTGCAGATGATGCTGCTGCTGACGATGCTGCTGCTGACGATGCTGCTGCTGACGATGATGATGATGCTGCTGCTGATGATGCTCACCATGTTACTGATGCTGCTGCTGGTGATGTTGCTGATGATGATACTGCAGATGATGATGATGCTCACGATGATGCTGCTGCTGCTGATGATGCTGCTGCTGATGATGCTGATGATGCTGCTGATGCTGCTGCTGATGCTGCTGCTGATGCTGATGATGCTGCTGATAATGCTGCTGCTGATGATGATGCTGCTGATGATGCTGATAATGCTGATGCTGCTGCTGATAATGCTGCTGATAATGCTGCTGATGATGCTGATGATGAGGCTGATGATGCTGATGATGATGCTGATGATGATGCTGATAATGCTACGGCTGCTGCTGATGATACTGCTGCTGCTGATTCTGTTGCTGATGCTGCTGCTGCTGCTGATGATGATGCTGATAATGCTCCTGCTGCTGCTGATGATGATGCTGCTGATGATGCTGCTGATGATGCTGATAATGCTGATGATAATGATGCTGCTGATGATGATGCTGATGATGATAATGCTGCTGCTGATGATGCTGATGATGCTGATGATGCTTCTGGCGCGTGCTGCAGGAGTGATGATCCGACCGCGTGCGGAGAATCTGGACGTCTTCTTCAACATCTCCAGTGGCGACTCCTACTCGAAATTCACGCAGTCTCTCGACTCCTTCATCAAGAGTGAGTCACCAAAGTCTCCCCTCCCCCCCCACCAAGTCGCCTGAATCATCTCCCCATCTCCCCATCTCTCTCTTTCCATCTACTCATCTCTCTCCCCATCTCTCTCTCTTTCTAACCATCTCCCCGTCTCTCTCCATCTCCCCATCTCTCTCCCCATCTCCCCATTTCTCTCTCTTTCCATCTACTCATCTCTCTCCCCATCTCTCTCTCTTTCTAACCATCTCCCCGTCTCTCTCCATCTCCCCATCTCTCTCCCCATCTCCCCATTTCTCTCTCTCTTTCCATCTACTCATCTCTCTCCCCATCTCTCTCTCTTTCTAACCATCTCCCCGTCTCTCTCCATCTCCCCATCTCTCTCGCCATCTCCCCATCTCTCTCTCTTTCCATCTACTCATCTCTCTCCCCATCTCTCTCTCTTTCTAACCATCTCCCCGTCTCTCTCCATCCTCGCTGCATCCGTGCTGTGGCACAAGACCAAGGCCCGCCAGCAGTGGCGGCTCCTGCAAAATCTCTCAGGGGGGGCAAATGTCTGGATGATTGATAAGGATAAGGTCCACCCATGCAATGGATAAATTAACAGCTTAAGCATGTAAAGGCAACTTCACTTCTTTAATATTAATGAAAAATAAAGTGACTCTTACAATACATCTTGTTTGTTTCTATACTCACTATTAATACAATCCACTCAAGTTTCTTTTATTAAAGATTCCACTAGGTGGCGACAAATTATATTGTTGGATGAAACGTGCTTACGTATGATGACGTAAGCACGTTAGTGCGAGCCCTCCCGGAAGCCATAGAGAATGCATTGCAGCACCCCCCGGTCGAAAAAAAAACATCTTTGAATGTAAGTCTCTGGGGCCACTCGGGGCGATTCTCAGCCGGAGTGAAATCGCCCAAAAAGAGGCGGTACTCCACAGAACATGACATGACGCTGATTGGACTATATCCAGAGGCACAGTGACGGCTAGCGTGACTCTGTGGTTGAATGACATTGGTGGTGCGTCGCCCAATCGCCCTAGTGAAGTAACCGCCCCTGCACTCCAGCCTCCTGACTGGCTACTCACCACTCGTGCACTTCGGCTAGAATGTAAAGCACAGAACGAGAGAAAAGATGCTGGAGGGTGACACTGACGCAGAGGTCGCAACCGGGTACCCGATACCCGTACCCTACCCGATACCCGGCTACCCATACCCGGCCGGGTACGGGTACCCGTTTGCGAACCTGGTGCGGCCGGGTACGGGTAGGCCGTGAGTCACTGGTGAGTCACCGTTTGTCACTCATTTCCCAACGTCTTGTTTCTTCTCACAATTCAAGTTCCTAGAATCAACCCACCCGCGCCTGCAACATGGCTTCATCCCAGAGGTCGCAATCGGGTACCCGATACCCATACCCTACCCGTACCCGGCTACCCGTACCTGGCCGGGTACGGGTACGGGTAACCGTTTGCGACCCTGGTGCGGCCGGGTACGAGTACGGGTAGGCCGTGAGTCACTGGTGAGTCACCGTTTGTCACTCATTTCCCAACGTCTTGTCTCTTCTCACAATTCAAGTTCCTAGAATCAACCCACCCGCGCCTGCAACATGGCTTCATCCCAGAGGTCGCAATCGGGTACCCGATACCCGTACCCTACCCGTACCCGGCCGGTTACGGGTAGGGTACGGGTACCCGTTTGCGACCCTGGTGCGGCCGGGTACGGGTAAGGAATCAAAACCCGTTTGCGACCTCTACACTGACGGCTGCTCTGTGCTGCTTCCAGTGTTCAGAGGCCTGCTTAAGGCTCCGGCTGGAGCACGCCATGTACCACACACATGTCGGTGTTGTGCGCGTCTTCTACGAACGCTGGGGAGCCGGAAGAGCCTCTCTCTGTACCAGCGTGCACTGCACCCTCGTGTTCACCTTCTGAAGCGCTCGCTCGTCACCGTGGCGTGCGCGATGACCACCACCACCACAACCACCACCACCACAACCACCACCACCACGTGGCTTTTCTTGTGTGTTGTGAGCGGTGCTTTTAGCGCCACAGCGCGTGGATTTGTAGCGTTTATTTTCATTTGTGTTGCTGGTGACTTTGTGTATTTCGAATCGGAATCGCCTCCAGTGCTGTTGCTGCTGGCGGCAATAAAAGTTGTTTAAAAGCCAAAAAAAAAGTCACCATCCATTTCTCTCTCTCCCCATCTCTCCCCCCATCTCCCCATCTCTCTCCCCATCTCTCCCCCCATCTCTAAAACTCTCTCCCCATCTCCCCATCTCTCCCCATCTCTCCCCCCATCTCTCCCCCCATCTTCCCATCTCTCTCCCCATCTCTCCCCCCATCTCCCCATCTCTCAAACTCTCTCCCCATCTCTCTCCCCATCTCCCCATCTCTCAAACTTTCTTCCCATCTTCCCATCTTTCTCCCCATCTCTCTCCCCATCTCTCCCCCATCTCCCCATCTCTCCCCCCATCTCTCCCCCCATCTCCCCATCTCTTCCCCCATCTCCCCATCTCTCAAACTCTCTCCCCCCATCTCTCCCCCCATCTCCCCATCTCTCCCCCCATCTCTCCCCCCATCTCTCCATCTCTTCCCCCATCTCCCCATCTCTCAAACTCTATCCCCATCTCTCTCCCCATCTCTCAAACTTTCTTCCCATCTTCCCATCTTTCTCCCCATCTCTCTCCCCATCTCTCCCCCCATCTCCCCATCTCTCCCCCCATCTCTCCCCCCATCTCTCCATCTCTTCCCCCATCTCCCCCTCTCTCAACCTCTCTCCCCCCATCTCTCCCCCCATCTCCCCATCTCTCCCCCCATCTCTCCCCCCATCTCTCCATCTCTTCCCCCATCTCCCCATCTCTCAAACTCTCTCCCCATCTCTCTCCCCATCTCTCAAACTCTCTTCCCATCTTCCCATCTTTCTCCCCATCTCTCTCCCCATCTCTCCCCCATCTCCCCATCTCTCCCCCCATCTCCCCCCCCATCTCTCCATCTCTTCCCCCATCTCCCCATCTCTCAAACTCTCTCCCCCCATCTCTCCCCATCTCTCCCCCCATCTCTCAAACTCTCTCCCCATCTCCCCATCTCTCCCCATCTCTCCCCCATCTCTCCCCCCATCTTCCCATCTCTCTCCCCATCTCTCCCCCCATCTCCCCATCTCTCAAACTCTCTCCCCATCTCTCTCCCCATCTCTCAAACTTTCTTCCCATCTTCCCATCTTTCTCCCCATCTCTCCCCCCATCTTCCCATCTCTCTCCCCATCTCTCCCCCCATCTCCCCATCTCTCAAACTCTCTCCCCATCTCTCTCCCCATCTCCCCATCTCTCAAACTTTCTTCCCATCTTCCCATCTCCCCCCAGCCTACGACAACCAGTCGGTGGATTGGCCTCGATGCACTCCGGGATTCTTCCGCGATGAGCAGGGCTCCCCCGTGGGTCACGTGCTCACCACGATGCCCCTGCCATGCTACTTTAACCGCTCGCTGCTCGCGAACTGCTCCGGTCTGAACGACCTCAGCTATGGCTACGCCAGCGGTCAGCCGTGCGTGCTTGTCAAGATCAACCGCGTGAGTCGATGCTGTTGATTGATGCTGCTCTCTGTCTCTCTGTCTGTCTGTCTGTGTCTCTCTCAGTGTCTCGCTCTCGTCACTCTGTCTCTCTCTGTCTGTCTCACTGTCTCTGTCTGTGTCTCTCTGTGTCTGTATCTCTGTCTGTCTGTCTCTGTCTGTGTCTCTCTCAGTGTCTCTCTCTCGTCACTCTGTCTCTGTCTGTCTCTCTCTGTCTGTCTCGCTGTCTCTGTCTGTTTGTCTCTGTCTGTCTGTGTGTCTCTCTCTCTGTCTGTTTCTCTGTCTCTCTGTCTGTCTGCTTCTCTGTCTGTTTCTCTGTCTCTCTGTCTGTCTCGCTGTCTCTGTCTGTCTCTATCTGTCTGTGTCTCTCTCAGTGTCTCTCTCTCGTCACTCTAGCTCTCTCTCTGTCTGTCTCTCTCTCTGTCTGTTTCTCTGTCTCTCTCTCTGTCTGTTTCTCTGTCTCTCTGTCTGTCTGTGTCTCTCTCTCTCTCTGTCTCTCTTTCTCTCTCTGTCTGTCTCTCTCTCTCCTTGTCTCTCTGTCTGTCTCGCTCTCTCTGTCTCTCTCTCTCTGTCTGTCTCGCTCTCTCTGTCTGTCTCCCTGTCTCTCTGTCTGTCTCTCTCTCAGTGTCTCTCTCTCGGTGTCTCTCTCAGTGTTATTATTATTGTTTACTGTTGTATATTGTTGTGTATTGTTGTTTATTGTTGTTGTGTATTGTTGTTTATTGTTGTTGTTTCTTGTTGTTGTTTAGGTGATTGGCTACAAGCCTGGGAACACCGACATGCCGGCGAGCGTCAACTGCACAGCGGTATGACGGAGTGGAGTGATATAATTATCGTATATAATGCATCTAGTAAATACAAAAATTATAGATTTTATAGTGCATAATATGTAATTATATAACAGTTATATCACTTTGTAAGTAATATAATAAGTAAACAATAATATGAATAGTAATGTTGCGTAGAAATAATGATACCATACATAAGTAATATACAAATGTATGCTTGATGGATTAAATCGCAGGCTGAGACTACGACGAGACGTTTTGCAGGCAGTGGTTGTCACTTTGTTATTGTTGTTAATTTTTATAGCGAGAGGGAGACTCAGAGAGAGAGGACGACTCAGAGAGAGAGAGAGGACGACTCACAGAGAGAGAGGACGACTCAGAGAGAGAGGGAGGACGACTCAGAGAGAGAGGGCGACTCAGAGAGAGAGAGACTCACAGAGAGAGAGGGCGACTCAGAGAGAGAGAGAGACTCACAGAGAGAGAGAGGGCGACTCAGAGAGAGAGAGAGGACGACTCAGAGAGAGAGAGAGGACGACTCAGAGATAGAGAGAGAGGACGACTCAGAGAGAGAGAGAGGACGACTCAGAGAGAGAGAGAGACTCACAGAGAGAGAGGGTGACTCAGAGAGAGACTCAGAGAGAGAGACTGGACGACTCAGAGAGAGAAACTCACAGAGAGAGAGAGAGAGAGGACGACTCAGAGAGAGAGAGAGAGAGGACGACTCAGAGAGAGAGAGACTCACAGAGAGAGAGGGTGACTCAGAGAGAGACTCAGAGAGAGAGGGCGACTCAGAGAGAGAGGATGACTCAGAGAGAGAGAGGGCGACTCGGAGAGAGAGAGAGAGAGGGCGACTCAGAGAGAGAGAGGACGACTCAGAGAGAGAGACTCAGAGAGAGAGGACGACTCAGAGAGAGAGAGAGGACGACTCAGAGAGAGAGAGAGGACAACTCAGAGAGAGAGAGACTCACAGAGAGAGATGGTGACTCAGAGAGAGACTCAGAGAGAGAGAGGACGACTCAGAGAGAGAGAGGACGACTCAGAGAGAGAGAGACTCAAAGAGAGAGAAAGAGACTCAGAGAGAGAGATTACGACTCAGAGAGAGAGGACGACTCAGAGAGAGAGGACGACTCAGAGAGAGAGAGACTCAAAGAGAGAGAAAGAGACTCAGAGAGAGAGAGATTACGACTCAGAGAGAGAGAGACTCAGAGAGAGAGAGGACGACTCAGAGAGAGAGACTCAGAGAGAGAGAGAGGACGACTCAGAGAGAGACAGCTCTAGGAGACAGCCTGACCTGGGTGTGCTTCTGTGCGTGTTGTGGCCTCCCTGCTGCTGCTGTTGATGATGATGACTCCCAGAAAAACATCGACCTGGGACCTCTGAACTTCTACCCTGAAAACAAGTTCGACCCCATGTACTTCCCCTACTACGGCAAGAAAACAGACGTGAGTGTGCGAAGCGTCACCAACATCAGCATCAGCATCAACGGCATCATCAGCGGCATTATCATTAGCATCATCAGCATTATCGTCACTAGCAGCAGCAGCATCAGCATCAGCAGCAGTTCAACATGAATTGTTTCTAGTTGCAATGGCACGTACAGCAGCAGCAGCTTTCGCATCCTACCAATAGACTCGTGCACACAGAGAGAGCTGCCACTGGGGGTGCCCCTAGGCTAGACGCAAACAGCAGCAGCAGCGATCACCGCTACCCCTACTGGCAGCAGACTGATGCACAGCGACAGCTGTCACTGGGGGTGCCCCTTGGTTAGACCCACACAACAGCAGCAGCGATCATCGCTACCACTACTGGCAGCAGACTCATGCACAGGGACAGCTGCCACTGGGGGTGCCCCTAGGTTAGACCCACACAACAGCAGCAGCGATCATCGCTACCCCTACTGACAGCAGACTCATGCACAGGGACAGCTGCCACTGGGGGTGCCCCTAGGCTAGACCCACACAGCAGCAGCGATCACCGCTACCCCTACTGGCAGCAGACTGATGCACAGCGACAGCTGTCACTGGGGGTGCCCCTTGGTTAGACCCACACAACAGCAGCAGCGATCACCGCTACCCCTACTGGCAGCAGACTGATGCACAGCAACAGCTGCCACCGGGGGTGCCCCTACTCTCCGTGCCTACATCTCTCTCTCTCTGCATCTCCCCTCTCCCGATTCCAAATCCCCTTACCTCCGCGTCTCCTCTTCGTCGTCCTGCCTTGCCCCCCCCCCCCAACCCCTCGCAGGGTGGCTACCGTCAGCCCGTGGTGGCGGTGCAGTTCATGAACCCGCCCCGCAACACCGACCTGCAGGTGGTGTGCCGCCTGTCGGGACCCAACGTGGTCGTGGACGAAAACAACCGAGACAAGTTCATCGGCCGCGTCGAGTTCCGCCTCCACATCTCCAACTAGCGGGAGGGTGGGATGGATGGGGGGCGGGGGGGGGGCAGAGACGGTGACGACACGAGGGACACACGCGACTTCGTTCGTTAGGACCCCTAACTTTGTTTCCTGTGGTCCGCGACTTCATTTCTCACGACCCATGACTTGATTTTCTGTGGCCCATGACGTCATTTCCTGTGGCCCATGACATCATTTCCTGTGGCCCATGACGTCATTTCCTGTGGCCCATGACGTCATTTTCTGTGGCCAATGACTCAATTTCCTGCGGCCCACGACTTCAATTCTCATGACCCATTATTTCAATTCTTATGACCTCGTGACTTCATTTCCTGTGGCCCATGACGTCATTTCCTGTGGCCCATGATGTCATTTTCTGTGGCCAATGACTTCATTTCCTGTGGCTAATGACTCAATTTTCTGCGGCCCACGACTTCAATTCTCATGACCCATGACTTAATTTCTTGTGGCCCATGATGTCATTTCCTGTGGCCCATGACGTCATTTCCTGTGTCCAATGACTTCATTTCCTGTGGCCAATGACTTCGATTCTCACGACCCGTGACTTAAATTCTTACGGCCCATGACCTCAAATCTTATTACCAATGACTTCATTTTCCTGTGGCCTGTGACTACATTTTTTGTCGCCCGCGGCTTAATTTCTCACGACCCATGACGTCAATTCTTGTGGCCTGTGACTTAATTTCCTGTGGCCGCCAACTTAATTTCATGTGGCCTTTGGGCCAGATGTGCTCCAGGACTTCGCTTCACAAGACCCAGAGTCAGGTCACGCTCAGTGCCTGCATTTGAGCCCTGAGTCTGGGTGTGTCTCTCTATCCATGGGTGGTTGATAATGGCCGTGTCGTAAAAACTGAGCCATTATCACTGAGACCGTGGGTTCGAGTTCTGGGTGTGGGTTTCTCTGACAGATCTATGTGTGAGTCTGTGGGTCTCTGTCTGAGTCTATGAGCCTCTCCGTGAGTCTATGGGTCTCTGTGTGAGTCTATGGGTCTCGATGTGAGTCTATGGGTCTCTATGAGTCTATAGGTCTATGTGACTCTGTCTCTGTGTTTGTATGTCTGTGTGTGAGTATGGGTCTCTGTGTGAGTCTGTGGGTCTCTGTCTGAGTCTATGATCCTCTCTGTGAGTCTATGGGTCTCTGTGTGAGTCTGTGGGTCTCTGTGTGGGTCTATGGGTCTCTGTGTGGGTCTATGGGTCTCTGTGTGAGTCTATGGGTCTTTGTGGGAGTCTTTGGGTCTCTGTGTGAGTCTATGGGTCTCTGTGTGAGTCTTTGGGTCTCTGTGTGAGTCTATGGGCCTCTGTGTGAGTCTATGGGTCTCTGTGTGAGTCTGTGGGTCTCTGTGTGAGTCTGTGGGCCTCTGTGTGAGTCTGTGGGTCTCTGTGTGAGTCTATGGGTGCTGTAATCTCTTTGTTTTGAGGCTGAAACTCTGGACTCGAACCCAAGAGATGTCTGCTTCTGTGCACCTCTGAGCCATTGGGTCTCCACAATTTAGTGTAAATATACAAACATAACAACAACATGAATAATCACCATAGTCCATATTAGCCACTATAAAGATAACATAGGGGAAGTGTAAATGTATGATACTTAATAGGTCCAGCAGCGGTAGCGTAAGTGACGACATCAGCTCAAGGGTGGAGGGGTTGGTTGTGGAATATCGTGGTTTTGATTAGTTTAACGCGACTAATATCGTCCGTTAAAGAGGTTTTGTTGGGTTAGATCGCGTACATATGAATGTGTCTTGACTGAAAGCTTTCGTGACTGCGGGAATTCATATTCTTTGGGGCTTTCGGTAAAGTCACGTAGAAAGGTTCAAATGAAAATAACTAAAAATAACAAAAAACTACGACGTTTCGATCGCAACACAAGCGATCGAAACGTCGTAGTTTTTGTTACTTTCTTTGAACCTATCTACGTGACTTTACCGAAAGACCCAAAGAATATAAATGTGTCGTTAAACCCGCCACCACCCGACACGGCCAAATCGTAAGGTTTGTCACGTGAACAGAACGTGCCCAATTCGTTTCGAGTACAGCAACTAACCGGTTGCGTGTTGGAGAGCAAATCCACAACATTTGGCAAATCTGACATTATTTTGATTATTGTAATTATATACTACATTAGTCATCATACTAATGTAGTATATAATTACAATAACCCCCCCCCCCCCCCCAAATCGTTGCACCTGATGAGTTAATGAGTTAATGATGACGTCACCCTGCTGCTGCTCTATATAAGAACGGGAGACAGAGCAGAGCCTCAGCATTCTGGCGAATTGCCCGATGATGCTGGATGCAATTACCAGCAAAACGTCGCGCTACTCAAATTGTAAATTGTTGTGGTTTCACGCTTCAACACACCGGTGGGCTAAAGCAGTGAACTATTTGTCTTTTGTCAAACGTGACACTTTTTTACTGATTGGCCGTGTCGGGTGGTGGAGGGTTACGACACATTTATAAATAACGCGATCTAAACACAAAAACGTTGATTATGAAGTATATATATGATTGATTACACTATGTAACACAATTTTTGTTCCTGGGTATTAAGTGTTTTTTTCTAATTGCTTATGGCTAAAAGGTATAGAAAGTGGCTGTTATTCCCTACAAACTTTGCTTTTGTGACCAGGACTTTATGTAAACACCTTTTTATCTCTTCTTGGTTCTTGCGTTGTGGCTGAAACGTCGTGAGAATTATTTTGTTATCTTTTATTTGTATTATTTTATTATTTCCCTTCTACGTGACTTTACCGAAAGAACCAAGAAGATGAATCCCTGCAGTCACGAAAGCTTTAAATCGAAATTTTATTATGTTTTATTTTTATTATTTTATTATTTCCCTTCTACGTGACTTTACCGAAAGAACCAAGAAGATGAATCCCTGCAGTCACGAAAGCTTTAAATCTAAACCTTTTTTTCTCATTGAAAATAGGTACATTTCAAAATATCGCTGTCCTGGTCACACAAAAGCAAAGTTTGTGGACAATAATAGCCACTGTCTGCACTTTTAAGGCAATTAGAAAATAACACTACCTACCCAGGAACAAAAAATATTAAAAAATGTTGTTATGAAGTGTTATAGATATCGCGGATTCCTCTTGCCCCAATCGGCATCTTAGTCGTCGTCGACACAACATCGTAGCTTTCCGCGTAGCGGTCTGGAACGTTTGACTCTGCGACACTGGCACGGCTCCCGTGTCCGCGCGGAGTGGCAGCGTTTGTGTCGTCTGTAACTTTTGAAAAATGAAATTAAAAAAGGCTAAAAAATCTCGGAAATGACGGAAAAGTCTTTTTGTTTTATTCGTGGCGACTCGGTTTCAATTGCGTCTGAGGCACCACAGCAACACACACCCAGAGCCTGCAATGTTGTTGGTTGACGAAGGCAACCAAACCCACCCACTCCACCCAACCCATACAACCCACCCACCCACCCAACCCAACCCACCCAACCCACCCAACCCACCAAATCCACCCAACCCAACCCACCCAATCCACCCACCCAATCCACCCACCCAACCCACCCTCCCAATCCACCCACCCAAACCCAACCCAACCCATACAACCCACCCACCCACCCAACCCAACCCACCCAACCCACCCAACCCACCCAATCCACCCAACCCAACCCATCCAATCCACCCACCCAATCCACCCACCAACCCACCCTCCCATCCACCCACCCAACCCAACCCAACCCATACAACCCACCCACCCACCCAACCCAACCCACCCAACCCACCCAACCCACCCAATCCAGCCAACCCAACCCACCCAATCCACCCACCCAATCCACCCACCCAACCCACCCTCCCAATCCACCCACCCAACCCAACCCAACCCATACAACCCACCCACCCAACCCAACCCACCCAACCCACCCAACCCACCCAATCCACCCAACCCAACCCACCCAATCCACCCACCCAATCCACCCACCCAACCCACCCTCCCAATCCACCCACCCAACCCAACCCAACCCATACAACCCACCCACCCACCCAACCCAACCCACCCAACCCACCCAATCCACCCAACCCAACCCACCCAATCCACCCACCCAACCCACCCTCCCAATCCACCCACCCAACCCAACCCAACCCATACAACCCACCCACCCACCCAACCCAACCCACCCAACCCACCCAACCCACCCAATCCACCCAACCCAACCCACCCAATCCACCCACCCAATCCACCCAACCCACCCAACCCAACCCACCCATACAACCCACCCACTCCACCCAACCCACCCAACCCAACCCACCCAATCCACCCACCCAATCCACCCAACCCACCCAACCCAACCCACCCAATCCACCCACTCCACCCAACCCTACCAACCCACCCCACCCAACCCAACCTACTTACCCAACCCAACCAAACCCACCCACCCACCCACCCAACCCACCCAACCCATACAACCCACCCACTCCACCCAACCCACCCAACCCAACCGACCCAATCCACCCACCCAATCCACCCAACCCACCCAACCCAACCCATACAACCCAAGCACTCCACCCAACCCACCCAACCCAACCCACCCAACCCAACCCACCCAATCCACCCACCCAATCCACCCACCCACTCCACCCAACCCACCCAACCCAACCACCCAACCCACCCAACCCACCCAACCCACCCAACCCAACCCATACAACCCACCCACTCCACCCAACCCTACCAACCCACCCCACCCAACCCAACCCACTTACCCAACCACCCAACCCAACCCACCCAACCCAACCCACCCAACCCAATCCACCCACCCAACCCACCCAACCCAATCCACCCAACCCACCCAACCCACCCAACCCAATCCACCCAACCCACCCAACCCAACCCATACAACCCACCCACTCCACCCAACCCTACCAACCCACCCCACCCACCCACCCACCCAACCCACCCACCAATCCAAACCACCCAACCCAACCCACCCAACCCACCCACCCCACCCACCCACCCAATCCAACCCAACCCACCCAACCCACCCAACCCACCCAACCCAACCCACCCACCCACCCCACCCACCCACCCAGCCCACCCACCCAACCCACCCACCCACCCAACCAACCCACCCAACCCACCCAACCCACCCCACCCACCCACCCCACCCAATCGAACCAACCCATCCCACCCACCCACCCAACCAACCCACCCACCAATCCAACCCACCCAACCCAACCCAACCACCCAACCCACCCACCCACCCACCCAACCCACCCAACCACCCACCCACCCACCCACCCAACCCAACCCAACCCACCCAACCCACCCAACCCAACCCAACCCACCCACCCACCCACCCCACCCACCCACCCAGCCCACCCACCCAACCCACCCACCCAACCAACCCACCCAACCCACCCAACCCATCCACCCCACCCAACCCATCCAACCCAACCCACCCAACCCACCCAACCCACCCAACCCACCCAACCCACACAACCCAATCCACCCAACCTACCCAACCCATCCACCCAACTCATCCACCCAACCCAACCCATCCACCCAACCCACCCACCCAACCCAACCCAACCCACCCAACCCACCCAACCCACCCACAAAACCAAACCCACCCACCCATGTAATTGGTGGGCAACAAGGGTGCTGGTGGTGGATTTTCCACCAATCAAAGGGCTGCCAGGTGAAAATTAGCATGTTGTTGTAAGAGCGGAGAGCGGCTTCCACGCGGCGAGCTCGCGGTGGTGGCGATGTTCATGTGGGAGATCAGGAGGGCCTAAGTTTTGCATCCTGAACGAACGCTCCTCCTGTGTTGCTACTTGTCGTCTGGGCTGTGTTTCCTCCTGTGCCCGTCTGTCTTTCGTGGGTTCACAGTGGCCATGCCACAGACTCTGAGCCAGGGATTTTGAGGTCATGGGTTCGAGCCCCGGGTCTGGGTGTCTCTCTGTGGGTTCACAATGGCCATGTCAGAGACACTTATACTAAATACTTGGGTTCGAGCCCCGGGTCTGTATCTCTCTCTATGGGTTCACAATAGCCATGTCAGAGACATTGATACAGTGATACTGATTACCTGGGTTCGAGCCCCGGGTCTGGGTGTCTCTCTGTGGGTTCACAATGACCATGTCAGAGACATTGAGACGGTGATACTGAAGACCTGGGTTCGACTCCTGGTTTTGGGTGTCTCTCTGTGGGTTCACAATGGCCATGTCACAGACTATGAGCCAGGGATTTTGAGGTCACGGGTTCGAGCCCCGGGTCTGGGTGTATCTCTGTGGGTTCACAATGACCATGTCAGAGACATTGAGACGGTGATACTGAAGACCTGGGTTCGACTCCTGGGTCTGGGTGTCTCTCTGTGGGTTCACAATGGCCATGTCACAGACTATGAGCCAGGGATTTTGAGGTCATGGGTTCGAGCCCCGGGTCTGGGTGTCTCTCTGTGGGTTCACAATGGCCATGTCAGAGACATTGATACAGTGATTCTGAATACCTGGGTTCGAGCACAGGGTCTGGGTGTCTCTCTGTGGGTTCACAATGGCTATGTCAGAGACATTGAGACGGTGATACTGAAGACCTGGGTTCGACTCCTGGGTCTGGGTGTCTCTCTGTGGGTTCACAATGGCCATGTCAGAGACATTGAGACAGTAACACTGAACACCTGGGTTCGAGTCCTGGGTCTGGCTCTCTCTCTGTGAGTTCATAACGGCCATCTAAGATACACTGAGCACTGCTGAGACCCTGGGTTCAAGCCCTGGGTCTGGGTGTATCTATCTCTGTAGCTTCATCATGGCCATGTCAGAGACACTGAGCCAGAAATAACTGAGATCTTAGGTTCGAGCCCTGGGTCTGGGTCCCTCTCTCTCTCTCGCTGTGAGTCCTGGGTCTGGATGTATCTCTTTCTCTGTGGCTTCATCATGGCCATGTCAGAGACAATGAGCCAGAAATAACTGAGATATTAGGTTCGAGCCCTGGTTCTGGGTGTCTCTCTCCGTGTGGGTTTATAATGGCCTTGTCAGACAAACGGAGTCAGCACTATTGAGATCCTTGGGTGAAGGTTCAAACCCTGCGGCTGGGTGTTTACTGGCAGGTGGTTCATGATGGATGTGAAGGGGGAAAAAATGCTGAGTCTAAAAATCTCAGGCGTGTGTTTGTTTGTGCATGAGTGAATGCGGGTGAGTGTGTGTGTCACTGTGTAACACACACACAGTAGCGGTTAGCGCACTGCGCTATGAACCCGGCGACACGGGTTCGATTCCCGCTCACGGCCAACACGAGTGACAATTAACTGAACCGGTCCCGGGCCTCCCCTAGGTCGACTCAGCCTCAAATGAGTAACTGGTGCGGTGTGTAAACATCGCCACTAGGGAGATAAAGGCGGTCGGGCGTGGTGCTGACCACCCACCCCCTCGTGTGGCACAGTGCTTGTCCCTACAGCCTGTTAGAGGCTACACGGGGGATCTTTGTCTGTGTGAGACTGATGGGGCAAATGCTGATAGCGAGACGGTCACTGCATCATCACCATCATCATCAGTATCATCACCACCATCATCACCATCATCATCACCATCATCATCAACATCATCACTATGATCAAAGCCATCATCACCACCATCACCATCACCATCATAACCACCATCATCATCACCATCATCAAAGCCATTGTCATCACAATCATCATCACCATCATCATCAACATCATCAACATCATCAAAGCCATCATAATCGCCATCATCATCACCACCATCATCATCACCATCATCACCACCATCATCATCACCATCATCAAAGCCATTGTCATCACCATCATCACCACCATCATCATCACCATCATCACCACCATCATCATCACCATCATCAAAGCCATCATCATCACCATCATCATCAACATCATCACCACCATCATCATCACCATCATCACCACCATCATCATCAACATCATCAAAGCCATCATCATCACCATCATCATCAACATCATCACCACCATCATCATCACCATCATCACCACCATCATCACCACCATCATCAAAGCCATTGTCATCACAATCATCATCACCATCATCATCACCATCATCAACACCATCATCAACACCATCATCACCACCATCATCACCACCATCATCATCAGCATCATCACCATCAACATCACCATCATCATCACCATCATCACCACCACCATCATCATCACCACCACCATCATTATCATCACCATCATCATCTAGGTTGACAAACTCGTTTATTTAGAACTGCTGCTGGTTGTTGATGTGTTTAGTTTGTTGTCCTTCCCCCGGACCTCCGTACGGTGCGAA